TGGATTGGGTTGGATTAAGCTAATATCTGGTCCATTGATATAAGATAAGAATATGTGTCAATGGATCAGGTTTGAGTTGAAACCAATCTAAATCAAAATGAATTTGAACAGATTGGACGGTTTAGACATTGAATTGGACCGGTCCAGATTGGTCTAAAACATTCGTTGGATTGGATTAGATCTGGTCCATTTATAATGGACTTACATTGGACTGGATCGGATTGGACCAAATCCAGTTCAATTGACACCCCTACCCACAACACACTACCTCCATGCATTGGAAACATCTCCCTGTGCACAATACTGTATAGGAGGATGAGATTCTCATATATGACTATGATGTTATGTGGGTAAATATGAGCAGAGTTATTATAGGCAAGAGATCCGGACTCATTTCACATAGCAGTTTCGGGCTTAGTGAGGTGGGCCGTGGGCCTCACCCAGACTTATTTCACATAGCAGTTTCCGGCTCAACATGCCTCAAATCTGCCAACCAATGAGCAGCAGCATTAGCCCCTGTAAAAACTTGAGAATACTGAAAATTTAAACACTAAAACTTCAGCAAATCTCATGACAGGAGTCGATATTGGGCTTGAAATCCTTGAAGCAACATCCATTCATCTTTTCGCGTAATAGAAAATTGGAGATCATCAAAAATAGAAAATAAACCAATCAGATCAGGATGATAAAACTTTTTTTTCTCATAATTTACGAAAAAAAAATTATGCTACCAGAAAGAGATGATACGCAAGGGTCAAAACCTAATTAATTGATTACCACTTGTATGAGACCGGTTGATTGGTTACGAGTTTTCCAAGGTATCATGTATTTCCGGCACTATGGTCCACCTCCATGATTTAATTTAGTACATGTCATATGCAAAGGGCCTACGCTTCAGATGGAACAGTCGTTCTTTTATTTTCCACATAAATCATGATACCTAAACTGTACATAGATGTATCCCTGTCATACCACGTAGCAGTTGAATAACTGATCTACAATCGTGATGGTCCCTGCCATCAATACATTGCTCAAAGTGGGCCTCGTATTTCACTTTGGATTTCTTCTAGCCACAAGAATTCTATCCACGCCTACCCACAATACACTACCCCTTGTGAATTGGGAACATCTCTTCCTGTATAATATTACACAGAGGATAAAATGTTCTTCATATGTGACTGCGAAACGTGGGCAAGGTTCTCGTGAAAAGGAAGGAGATTCGGACTCATAAGATATTCCCCGCGTATGACTGTAATGTTATATGAGTAGGAATTCAGGACTCTTCGTATTTAGGGTGTTCATAAAATATATATTATTTATAATATAATATACTATATATTTTTTAAATATTTATAGTATATATTTATAATATATTATAAATATTAAAAAAACTAAAAAACCGAAGAATAAAACCGATAGAAAATTGAACCAAGGTGATATAAAAACCGAACTATGTGAATCCCTGTTGTACTTGGTGAGGGCTATATCTCCACTCTCAAGGACCCAGTTAGCATTTCTTTGACAAACCGGAAACAACGGGACTTCATATAAATAGAAAATTTTCTTCTTCAGGATTCAGTTCTTATGACATCACAATCCCTTACAGAAGACCAGTTTAATTACTTTTTAGGTGCCTCCATGAATTCCATCTTGGGTTAATTTAAAACAATGTTTGAAAAAACGATCCAGAACTAGAAACCGTTCCACCAGTTTTTGGGTTGATGGTTTAACCGTTTGGTTCGATGGATGGCTCATTTTGACAAAAAAATAATTAAAATAAAAAATGGCCAAAAACAGTGAACAAGTTGAATGGGTCGACGGTTCAACTGCCCTGGTCAGTGTATCGCTGACCAATTCAACAATTTTTAGCTAGGGATTAGGTTTGGGGTAAAATGTAACAGGTTGCCTGAACAGTTTTTAGGCCAAACGATATGACTGTTTGGATCAAAGACAGCTCGAAAACATTGATTTAAATTTTAAACTTTAAAGGATAAATTGCTGAAGCCTCCCTTGAAGTTTCTTATTGTTACTATTGTTGAAACCTCCTCTGAAATTTGACAATTGCAATCATCTCCCCTGAATTTTCTGACACAGATGCAAATAAACCCCCCTCCATACAGTTATTATTGAGTAGGAGAGTTAATAGGACAGTTTGGTTCAGTTAGAGGTTGTTTGAACAACCAAACCAACATGGTCGGGTTGGGCATTGGGGAGTTGGTCACCAAAACCAACTAACTGTATGGGCTGCCCCCGTATGTATGTATGTATGTATGGCTGGGTTGGGTCAGGTCAATTTATAAATGGGCAAATTGAAATTGACCCAACTCGCTTCGAGTTGGGTTAGATTGGTTGGTTTTGATGGTTTTGGTTTGACAAATAGCCCTACTATTGAGGTTGGTTTCCACAATTGATATGAAAGGGGGAATTTGAAAAATAAATCAATTTCGAAAAAGGGACCAGTAGGGTTTGAGGTAGTGATTGATATAGAGAGAAATTTAGAAAATAAACATTTTGGTCAAAATAACTTCATGGGTATTTTGGACAATTTTATGCCTCTTGTTGGAAGATTCTAACAGAGGGGGTCTACTTTCAACTTTGACAAAATGTTACGGAGAGGTGACTGAAATTACTAAACTTCAAGGAAGGTTTCAGTAATGATAAAAAACTTTAGGAGAAGTTTCAGCAATTTACCCTAATTTAAATCCTCTGTCTTCTGGACTACAACTTGGGCCGGGTTAGTCCCTACTCAACCCATAAAAATCGGGACCGGATCTAGTAGGCACATCAAAGTAAGCATGTTGAATGAGCACTTGATAAATATTTTGATAAATATCAACAGTGGGTATTAATCTTTTTCAAGGGTGGGGTGAGGGTATTTTAAGGGACAGGTGTCAAAAAAATTTTCAAAGTGCTCATTGAATGTGCTTTGAAGAAAAAAAAAATTCAAAGTGCTCATTGTCAAATGTAATTATATTTACATTTGTACATGAAGAAAAAAAAAGAAAAGAAAATAGCAATTACAAGTTCAGAGGCAACATTTTTCTAAAGCATAATATAGCTAAAATTGAATTCAAGAACATTAGGCCTGTCCAACCCAGTAAAACATTCTTTTTCCTCTATCCCCCCCCCNCCCCCCCATTCTTAATCTGATGAAACAACAGATCATGTATTCAAGTTTATACTCTTTTTTTTTTTAAGAAAAAAAAAAGGTGAATGAATCCTATGTCTATTTTTTTTTGTAATCTCCCAATCATTTTTTTTATTTATTTTTCGCTTTTAGTAATGGTGAGTTCTCATCTGATACTCTTTTGCAATACCAACATTTTAAACCTTGCCAATACGGTCGATACATATCTAAATACAACTTTATATTGAACTTATATGCTTACACTTTTTAGTAAGGATTCGTGATTGGAATTACTCAGTTCAATCAAGCTGTTGAAGGGCCTAAATTTTGGAGCTTCAAAATGGGCTTGGGTCATAAAACTCAGGCCTGATCTAAATTGGGTTGGGCTGAGGTTGAGGCCTTGGGTATGTGTATAGAAATTCTTTCAACTCAAGCCCAAATTATGTTGGGTCAAGCATGGGCTGGACTTGGGTTCGTAAACTCCTGCTTGATCTCGGGTTGAGCCAGGCCCAAGCTCTAGACTAGCATCTTAGAGTTGGGTATGGATTGACCATCAACCCGTGGAAGTTGCTTTGATTTCTCATTGCTGAAACATTGGAAGAAAACGAACGAGAGATTATGCAAGTAGGGCTGTGAATGGGTCGGATTTCCCCATGTCTGATCATTTAATTTAATGAAAAATCCAAACCAGAATTCGATTTAAAATCTAGTCGGATCAAGGGATTTTGGATTGGGTCGAATTTTTTCAGGTTTTCATATTTCGTTCAAATCTGTTTCACAATCTTTACTATTTAGTTCAACTTATACATATCCAGCAAATAAGATATCAAAACTAAATTAATCAAATAAGATTTCAAAATTTAAGCTCCGTTGACAGCCCTAAGCCATGCGAAGAGGACACTGATTTTTGATTGACACTGTTCTTCATTATGCACCGATTATGGGCAAAAAGGAAGCCTTTGTTTTGATGTAAAAATACATCGTTGGCTTGTTGTATTTATACTCTGGAAGGAATATAAATATATAAAACCTTGTATTTTGTATGCATTTGGATTGTACATATTTATATTAACTCCTAAATTAAGCTTAGTTTGGTAAAAATACTAATACAAATATGTATAATGTAAATCATGGTTTTTAAAACCGAATCGGTCAGAGGTCTGGTTACCGGTTCAAACAGTTCTGACAAATAAATAAAAAAATTAAAAATTGAAAAAAATTAAAAAACGATCAAAACCGTTCAAACGGTTAATCGGTCGGTTCAGCGGTTTGATGACCAAAATCAACAGTTTTGAGAAAAAAAACGGTTTTAGAGAAAAACAGAACCGGTCAAGTAACTGATTCCCGGTTTTTCTGGTCTGGTCCGGTTTTAAAAACCATAATGCAAATACATACAAAATATATGATTTTGCACTCTAGATATTTGTATTTGTACTCTCCCTCCAAACAAAGGCTTTATCAAATTAGGATGACACCACTTTTCCTAACTTTCGCTGTTGGAGCCCAACAGCATAGTACCCATAGTTTGATTTTTAATAAAAATAAATTAAAATGTAATTACTAATTTACCCATTCTCATGATAACGTGACATTCCCAGAAACTGTCTCAACAGCCTATGCTGTTGGCCCCCAACAGAAGCTTGCTACAGCCTACAGCCATTGCAGAAATCTCCAACTTGCAGAACTCCCCAGTGGTCTGATTGTCTCACACTAACATTTGGATCGGAGAAGATCGAAAGAAGCGAAGACAGAATTGCAAAAAAGCAAACACAGCCTGACGAGTTGCAGGTTAACCCACCTTCTTAAGAGTTTGTAACTCAAGTTTCCAAAGAAAGTAGCGGACGGGCAAGTATCACTTAGCAGGAGTGCCGAATGAGCATAGACTATAGAATGGATTTCTGCAGATTTTGGTAACATTTTTTCTTCCTTTCTTTCTGTTAGAGAGGAAAAAATAATTACACTACATTTTTAACTTCCAAGTTCCAACAATGTACAGATACTGTTACTCCCGACCCATTAAAAATGTAAGCTGTACCATAGTGGCGCATTCTAGCCTAAGACATACAGAAAAGACAACATCCAAGTTGATCTAGAAAGCAAATCTATTTTATATTATAGAAAGATCCATGAATCAGATTTGATGTTGAAGCCTGTTGAAACAATAGTCAAACAGGATTTACAGTTGGAGAGAGAGAGAGAGTACCAGGCTTCTATATACAGATTCTTTCCAGCAGCTGTAACAGAATCCCTCATCTGATATGAGAATCATAGGGAAGAAACACAGGATCTGGAATGATTAGAGGCAACTTATCTATGTACATGAACAGCCTCTTTAGGTTCTCTCTGGTAATTAAAGGCAGGTCAACAATCTCCCGGCTGTCGGTGTAGATCCAAAGGTCACCAGAGTTCACTCGTTTAAGGTTATCTCTACAGAAAGGGCATGACTGAGATCGTGAACGCCTGATACAACCAAGGAACAGCATATCATGAAATCGTACTCAACATTGAGAACCAAATCTCAAGTGAGAAATTTCTTTCCTTCGCTTTTGAAGGGAATGCAGCAGGAAGAAAGAAGTTCAGTCAACGACCCTCTCCACACAAAGAAAAAAACCAGAAACAGAAGGAAAAGAAAACAACAGGATGAAATCGAATGAAGAAAAAAACCCAAAAAAGAGAATCAACTTAAACATAACTGTAAGTGAATGAGGGACATGGCAGTTGGTATGGTTTTCTTTTACTCAAAGTCAATCAAGAACATTATTAGCATTAAGGAAATGTCACATAAGCAAAGAAGGTGCTTACCAATCACGATAGCATTTAACGCACAACGCATGGTTGCAATTGGGCAAGACCACCTTACTGTTCATCTCCATGCAAATGCCACATTCCTCCTCTCTTTCTATATCAAGTTCAGAAAGTTTTCCCTTGTCCATTTCATCCTTCTTCCTATACTTGGTCTTACAAAGCTCTCTCTGCTTCCGATCCTCCACATCAGTGATTCCTCTTTGAAGTTGCAACAAAGAGGGAAATATAACAGCTGTCCATGGACAAAATCATATAAAAATTGTAAATCTTCTTCTCATAGGAATAAAAGAAGAGAAACAGATTCATCTCTTTCAGAACTCCACTAACCATAAAATTCTCTGATACTAGCTTTCCTTTCATAAACAGACATGGTGGTTTTGCCATCCTCATAAGCCTGCAACAGCAAACAATATCAGCTCCAAGACACTCAAAAACCCAAGACCCAAGTAAAAATAAAATGCAAGTAAAATTCCTGTTAGGTCAATATGAAAGACAGAAGTAAAATCAATCACATAAACAGATTAGAGATGAATGTACCTTGTAAATGAGAATTCTAAGCAATCCAAGGGAACCAGCAAGATGACAGTCAGCCCATTGAACAAGGAACAGAAACAAGTGTGCTACTGAACTATAAGATAATCTCATTTGGAGGCAGGCACCATCATATTCCCTCGAATAATCCGAGGCTCTGGACTCCAAAATGAAATAAATAATTAGTTCTCCAGAAGCCATATGGAAAAGAAAAAAAATGCGAGGAACCACGCACACACCGAGACCAGATAATGCAATTATTGAGTGTTTTTTAACACCCCACTTGGGTAAAATTAACAAATTTCAAGTAGAACAGTTAATGCAATAAATGAAGAACAAAAAGCCAGAGCCAGAAGGAGGTAGTAGCAGGGAATCATAGGAATCGCCAATCATTTCTGAGCGAAAAAAGAAAAGAATCAGCGATCATGAAGGTAAACTTGGAAGCTGGAAAAATCATATTGGGTAAAGAAGAAAGAAAAGTTGGATTTTCTATAAAACGCAAGCGCCACAAAGATCTCTTTTCGTGTTTGTTGTGGAGAGAGAAGGAAAGGGAATTTTTGTAGTAAATAAAAAGGAAATTTCAAGAGAAAGAAAGAAAGGAATTTTAACTACCGAATATGAAGTTGCATTAAGTAGATAAGGAACTTGGGGCACAACACAGAACTCCAATCGGGAAAAAACGACTAGTTTTGATGGAAGCTGAGCAAAGTTTTTCTTTTCTTCTCTTGATTTGGTAAGAAAACCGAGAGAGAGAGAGAGAGAGAGAGAGAAATAAAATTTGAATGATACCCACTAAAATTTCGATAAAATAATTCAGAACACTGAAAAGCAATTGGATTAAATGCCAGTAAGCTAACCATAGAGATCCGATATATCGCCGAGAAGATAACTAAAATTGAAATGAAGCAAAAGTTACAAAATTTAGAACACCAGAAGAAACATCGAAACAGAACCGAGTAGGAATCGCAAAAAGAAAAACGAAGCCCAGTACAATAATATAGTTGTAACGAAATATAAGTAAAAATACCAAATTCATTAAATTTTTGGGGGCAAAGCTCAGCACCCCCTTCCCCCCTTCAAAACCATAATCAGGGGCAAAACACTTGGAAAAACATATATCGTGAGATTAGAGGTGGTGGAGAGGAATATCAAAATACAGACAGCTGAAGCAAAGAGAAAATGATACAATGTTTCAAATAATTGGAAAAGAATATGCAAATTTGGAGAGAGAAAATATGAGAATTACAGAGTATTGGCGTGCTGAATGTCTGCTTCCAGTGATTTTAAGGAATCCTTGAACGACTTTCGCATGGCCGCGTTTCTCTTTGAAACAAAATCCCATCCACCAAGACAGAGACTCTGATAAACCCTAGAGGTCTCTTCCCTCCGACCCTCTCAATAAAACCGGAGAAGCTCAAAAACCCTATATCCTCCGTTCACCTGTTCTTCCTCATAACATGAAAATCCAATTAAATAGAGGCCAATTACAGAGAAAGAAACTCTGAATCCTTCTACCTCTTTCGGGATATTATTTTTGAATATAAAAAAAAGGTTCTACTGTGATTTTTATTTTTTTCTCTGAAACCCAATTTCTCACTGTGTAGAGGTGGGCCGGTAGTTATCATTATCGTCTTATCGATTTGGGAGGTAACAAAATTACCTAATTACCCATGCTTTCCCGGGAAATTTTGAAGATTGGATTCCTAGTCCCTAAATCAAGAAATTTCCGCTTGCTAAACTTTCTCTAGATTACCAAAATGCCCTTCGCCTAGGCATGATGGGTCCCACTTCTGGCTGCACCGGCACATGAGGATTACAACCGTTGGACCTCTTTGATCCATCCAAATGTGAGCAAAAATTGGGTGCTCTAGATTAACCGGCTAGTTAGCCACGTGGCCAAATCCACCTATACCATGTCTTACTACGCAGGGGTATTTTTGACTTATGGCAGTAGGGTGTCAGTTTTTCCTTGTAACCTTAGCAGTCCTGGCATTCATCTATCTTTTTAATGAATGGTATTTTGGTAATTTTAAAACTTCGGGGGTTAAGATGTCGACACTGATTTGTGCCAAACATTTGGTTACAAAAACCGGACTCTCGAAATAGAGAAACCAGGTGCGGTTTTAACTTCCCCCAGGAATATTGGCGACACTTGATACAACCAGCTCTTTCGGCGTTGTAAAGACATAAATCGCCCTTGCTTTTTAGAAATTTACATTTATATCCCTGTCCAGTGTCCACCGTCACCAGAAATTATCTGCTACATTGAATACTGACGTACGACCGGTAGTCCCACATGATCGCCCTACATGGCCCCACTCCCACCCCGAGATATTTTTCTCTTCGTCGACACAAAACAATAATGCGGCCTCGGATGTCTAAGCCGATCCCCACGTAATAGACTCCGGTCTGGTCGGTTTAATTTAAACTTATTTATCCATTTAAAGAGAAATAAATAAACAGGATAGTTAAGATATTCTATAGTATATATATAAAAAATTGGGTGATGTATTCTAAATCACATTATCACACCCATACAGGTGCTATGTAGGGTGTGGTCTAACAGCCTTGACATTCATTTACCGCAACTTGATTTTATGCATCAACTCGCAGTTCAGGGCTTATGACACTTTGACCTTACCTCTTCCACCTCACCCCTGGCCGTCTATGTCTATTTGCGTCGAGAACGTCAAAGACCTTTAGTGCTCTGTACTACGCTTTGCGGAAGCTTTACGATCCTATTTGGTTTTCGGTTCCCCCCCCCCAATTTTGGGGTGGACTCACCATCTAGCCTGTTAGCTAGACATCCCACTTGCATCGTCTTCGCTATCAACTTATCAGTGACCAATTGCTTGTGGCATGACCTACCCAAGAGAAACAAGAGAGATGACCCCAACAATCCAAACTTCCTCGCTTCATTCCCCAAAATTTCTGATGCCATCGAAAAGTATCTCAAGTCTCTGGGACAGCTCAGATGTATTCTATAGGGAGGAAATGATGTCAGAGGGCCCGGAGTGATATCATGGGCTTCTAATTCCGATGATCAAGTTAGTAAACCGAGTTATCTAGAGGGTGGTTGAAAATTCAATGAGTAATAAAGTATGAATTGAACGCTAAGCTGTCCCTTATATAGGATTCGAGATATTTGTCAAAATGTGTACGTGTTGGACTGATGTAGGACACCTGTCGTACCTTGAGACACCTGGGGCTTGCTTTGCCTTGATGGAGCTTGGGTAGGACACCTGGGGCTCTGTCAAGACACCTGTTACTCGAGCTCGGACCGGACATTTATGGCCTAATTCAGGCTAGCTGATATCCAGTTGAGACACCTAGAACTTGGCCCGGGCATTTAGAGCCTGATGAAGGCTACATGTTTAGCCACCTATAGCATTGGCCACCTGGTGCATAGCTATGACATGCTATGGTGATCTGTCCTCCATGTCTTCAATGTATGAAGTGGGCCTGAGACCAACTACCTGGCAAGTTTACCTTACATGTTGATAATCTTATTGCATGTGCCACCAGGTGGTCACTTGATGGACAAGTGTTAGAGTATGGAATTCTCTTGGAACAAAGCTCGTCTTGCTAATAAGGAAGGAGCTCTAATGGGTGGGAGCTCGTCTCGACAAGGAGGTCTCCTCCTCAGAGGTTAATAAAACCTATACGTATGAGTTGGTTGAGAAGCCCGAGGTGGTCTTATATGTCGTCGAGGTGACTCTTATCCTTTGAGACGACGACAAGATAGCGTTCTCCGAGTTGAAAGCAAGGCTGTCAGTTCACCCAAACATGCCACGTGCTTGGTAGTTCGGAGGTTAGATTTACCCTTATCAGTTCCAAACTCCCTAACATACCCCTAGTGGCAACTTTCCCCATCTATCATAGCTATGTTCAGAGCGACCCAAATTCAGGATTCATAAGAGATGGCTTTTGATATTGCGCGATCTGACTACTCCCAGCTGGAGGGTGATCTGGCTTCCAATCGAGCAGCGAGTTGGATCAATCTGCAAGACGATGGATCAGAGAATCCGGGGTGGCTAACCCGGCAAAGTCACTCTGATGCTTAAGTTAGTATCTGCGAGCTGAATGCTTTGGGAACTGGAGAGCTTGAGAGCTAGAGAGTAGAGTAATCACGCGTACTTGGGCCTTGGAGGAGTTGTTGCTCTTATATAGTTGAGGTACCGTGGGTTTCGCGAAACGGTTCCAGGATCTTCGGCCTGAGCGGATGAGATCCGTTTCCATTTTAGTCGAGTGAGTAACGTATCAGTCAATGAAGTCTATCGTTTCCACCCGATCCAGGCTGGGAGAGGATAAGCTTTCCGTTACGTAGCGTGATCCTGTGAGGTTCGAAGTCTGCTGTAGAAACTTCTGAAGTCGTTACGTGGCGATTCAGGTTATTAGCCCCAAACTGATACTTTGGTTCTTTAGTTCCGAACTGGATTAAATGCCGAGGTGCCTCAACGCCGAGGTGAGTTTTGGGTCGAGGTGGCTGAATACTCGAGCTCAAACGTCACGAACTAGGCTTGCTAAGCTGAGCTGTCATCCCTTAGTAAGGTCGCATCCACGTATCCCCTTCTCGCTAGGTCGGGCCAAATCACCCTTCAAGCTAACTTGGCCAGTTGGGGAATCGTTTTCAATTCGTTCAACGATTTAGAGGGCATCTACTTGAATCACATCAGAGAGGAGTTAAGCCACCATTGGATTTGGGCAGTGGGGCCTCTACTCCCTCCTGATGACAATCCATCGACCGAAAGGGGTGGATCCATCTCTGTTACAGCTGGCAACATGATGACTTGGCAGGATAGATGTAAGGATCATATTGTGGTTTATATGTGCTTTGGGAGTCGATTCATGTTGAGTAATGAGCACATGGAGGCATTGGCCGTTGTGTTGGAGGTAAGTGGCTGTCAATTCGTGTGGTGCATCAAGGAGGCCACTGGCAACAACACGACATCTATGGGGGCAGCTTCTGGTGTGGAGGAGGTGAGATCTGGTGCTATTGGTGTAAGTCGAGGAGGGGACAACGATGACAACAATGACATCTCTCTTGAACAATTGTAACTCGATAAAATGAATGTCATTGATACATTTTAAGTTTTCAATCACCCTTGAATGGTGAGTTAGAGGGAAAATGGTCTTTTTAAGTTTTCAATTTTCTTGTTTTTTTTTGCTTTTTTAGTGTTTTGTTATAATTTTTAATGTTTTTTATAATTTCTGTTTCTTTTACATTTTTCTATTTTCTACAATCTACAAATTTTCCTGTTTTTTTTGTTATTTATTTGCAATTTCTGTGTTTTTCTATAATTTTTTGTGTTTTTCTACAACTTTTATTTTCTGATCTTGTTTTTCATTTCTATAATTTGAAAATAATTTTTTATTTTGTTTTCAATTTTTATAATTTTTTATAATTTTTTATATTTTTGTAATTTCTATGTTTTTATGTATTTTATATTTGAAAATAGTTTTTTGAACTTTTTTCTTTTTTCATGTCTAAATATTAAAATGGTAATATATTAACACCCGTTAATTTATTTTGTAAATATTTTATTGTTTTCTATAAAGATTAAAATAATAATATATTAACAACTATTAATCTATTTACTTTAGCGTCAAATCAGTGAAACGGTGAATTTTAGACATTTTAAAAAGTTAGTAGTGAGTTTTACACAATTCCCTTTCTTGTCATTTGAATTGCTTTACTTTTACAATGACAAGTAGGTTGACGTGCATCTGCACGTTGACTCAGAGAGAGAGAAAGATTATAAGGACCGATAGATAAAATTGACTAGAAAGAGACATTTTTTAAAGAAGATAAAATGGATAAGATACAAAATATGGCAGAAAGAAATAGTGCTTAAATTGGACGATAAGAACTTGTTTGTTGCGGAATGTATATTGGAATTTGGGGACTCAGAATAATGTTCATTGAACATTCAAGAACAAATAACAAGATGCATAGATAAGATAAAAGGGGTGTTGGTTGTACTCACAACATAAATTCTCCATTCTCATCAGCCTCTTAATTAATAACAAAATCCCAAACATGTCACATGCATGGAGCTCAGGCCTTAGGCCCCACAACTCTCTCACTCTCTTGAAATATTTTATGTTTGAACCTAACCTTTTCTTATTACCATTGATTTACGGCTGTTGAGAAATATCATAATCATGTAGGTGGCTAAATAATAGTGATGATTTGCAATCTAKCAATTCCTTACTCGAGAATAATTTGGATGTCTAGCTAGTGAGTTTCTTGTTGGAAAGTGGTTTGGATGCTGAATTGGTAATTCGTCGGATTGACCTTTTGAGGTTGGAAATGAAACTTTTATATAGGTATTGTTTGGCGTGAGCTTCATGCATCGCGTTCAAGATCTCCTAGTTGGCTGGTCCAAAGTCCTCTGAAATATTCAATGCAGGAGCTGACTTCCGGAAGACCTGGGAGTGATCGGATGCACATAAGGAGGAGGTCGGTGAGCACGCCTCGCGGGTTGCCACCTGGCGTCGAGGTCCCTTGGACCGATAACAACGATGTACCACAGGTCAGTCC